AAGATTAACTTGAAGAAACATGGGAGAGTTCATCTTTCATATTGATAATGTTTCGTTTGTGCAACTGAACAGAATTTGAAATTGGGAGAAAAATAAAGCAACCCTTCAGCACACCCCCATCACAGATTTTAGTTCTCAATAATTAATTCATAACGACAGCTGTAGAAAAGTTATCTACAATGGTAATACTCTGTGTGTGGTGGGGTGGCATACATATGTGTTGTTTCCTTCGATGTGCACATATATACTGGTTTTCAATGGACCTTTGCTGTGCTACTTCAATCTTCTATCTTGACATCTGATTTATCTTTTATTCACTGCTTTTGGAAAGGTACCAGAGTAAAATATGGACAGTTTCCAAGCATATATTTTGGCTGTACTAGGGCACATGCATGGGGGAATCTCATGAGATGCTACTACTAACTCATGAAATTTGGCAGGCGTGCCTTTTTTTATACTCTAGCATATCACATAACATAAATATAGAATATAGCAAAACATAAAATGACAATTAACGTAACACTTCTTAAGCAGAATATTTTGAGGACTTATGTGTGATAGTTTTATGAATATTCTGTCAGGAGTCATTTCATGTGAATTTTGATAATTTACTTTGACACATGATTGACTTTTTTTCCCTCTACCATTAGACTTCAAGTAATACCAGGGGTGACAAAATAATGTACACATTTTAAGAGATATTATCTGACAAAAAATGTACACATTTTAAGAGATGTTATCTGACAAAAAATGTACACATTTTAAGAGATGTTATCTGACAAAAAAATGTACACATTTTAAGAGATGTTATCTATGTGTTACTTTTCGAAGTTGAATTGAATTATGGTAGCAATGTGTAGTATGACATTCACTCAAAAGATGGCGTTAATTAAATGCTAGCGTCATTCATTGTGTTACAATTTTAATACAGTTTTTTCCTTTCTTAAAATGTGTATACATTTTTTTGGCACCCTCTGTGTTAAAGAATGAAAATGTATAACAGGGTTACTAATGAAGATTGGCTTCCCTTTATGCCACGAATCATTCATCAAAGTTTTCAAGAAATCTGCCTTACAACCTAAAGTTATAGTGTTGCTAGCAACTTTCTTTAAAATTTTCATTAGTTAATATTTTCAAAATACATAGAACGTGACACTTGGTATAGTAAGTACACATTACAATATGAATGGAAACTCTTAGAAATCACGAGAATGAACAAGGTGTTACCCACAGTAATTGAGTCACTTGAGGTTTAGGTTATGCTATTGATTATGAATTCAATGACAAACTGCTGTGCTGTTTTTGCAATTTTTTTTAATAGTAGGAAAATGGAATTGTAAACTCTATGAGTGCAAGGATAGTGTTTGGTTTGATCCTGTTTTCTCTTTGTCACTTAAACTCAGTGCTTGACAATCAGAAGATGCTCAATAAATAATTGTTGAATTGTAGTTTTTTTAATGAAACAATCCAAATGGTGTGATAATAGACTAAGGTACCAACCACCACAACCATGAAATGTTTTATGGAATGTATCATTGTATTTTCTGTCTGATTTGAATACTGTTGATTCAAACAGTAAAGAAGTAAGATTCTTTCTGACATGCAGAATGAGGCAAAGAACTAATCAAATCTTGAAATCAATCTACTACCAGATATGCATTCCAATATGTGGAAAGTGTTGTGCAGACGCTGCTGTAAAAGACAGTTGAATCAAGACAAGTTGTGTATTCCTACAACCTAAGGGAGATTGAACCAAAGACTCAGCTCCTAAATTGACCTTGTAATGTGCTAAAGCATGTGTTCTTGAAGCTCAAATTTATTTTTTATTCCTAAGAAAGTGTCATTTGAATAAAATAACATAAAGAAGCACTTATACTGATAAGTTTGTGATTTGTGTATTTATAACATACTTAATAGAAGGACAAATTTGCTCATGCATGAATGTGTCCTGACATCTTTATAATTAAGGATATCTGTGCAGTATACTTGTTAGGTTTGCAACATAATAAGCACTATCTTTGATGGTGTTCTTATTATAGCCAGGCAGTTACAAATATTTGATTGTACAATAGAGAGTAGTATAGAGTTTATGAATATAGTCTTTGAGGCTAGATGTGAATTCAAATTCCAGTACTGGCATTTATTACTCATGTGGAATGTTATTAAATTTTCCGAGCACAGATTTCCTTGTTTTTTAAAGGGGAATAATAGTATCTTCTTTTAAAAATTATTATAAGGTTAATTGATACATGTTATGTAAAAACACATATAATATATAATGTATATGTATAGAATATGCATTCTAGACATATGCAGATAGATAGATAGATAGATAGATAGATAGATAGATAGATGATAGATAGATAGATGATAGATAGATGACAGATTTTGTGTAGTTTTTTGTCAGTCCTTGCTTTATTATTTTGTGCCAGGCACTTGCCCTCTGAGAGTTTTGAAACAAAACTAATGTCAGCAACTGAGTTGTTGAAATTCAAACTCAGGTCTTTCATACTCAAAAATTGTATCCTTTCAAATATATCGTACTACCCTGTATTACAGTGACTTTTCTCCCGAGCAAAATGACAAAGCAATCTACTGATGGTGACTATTCTTTTCAGTTCCTTGAAGGGATTTATTATCTCAAAATGTTCTCTCAAATGTCTTCCTATATTCTTTTTATAAAAGAAATTTTTTTAACTCATTTTGGTTCATACTGGTTATGAACCAAATTAACCTAAATTCTTAGCCTATAAACCTAATTTTTAAACCTCTGAGAAAAAATTACAATATAGCTATAAAGAGAATGTACTATATTAGATTTCATTAAATGTAAAGCACAAAAGATTCATTCCTTAGGAAAAAAAAATGTGTGAGCTTATTTCAATACCTGAATAATATTTCAGTCTTTTCAGGCTGAATTTTTAAAGAAAGAAGGGAACATTACTATACTTGATACTAACAGAACTCTAAGGAACCCTATGCCGTAGCATCCATCATCATCATTGTCATTATCATCATCATCACCATCACCACCACTGCCATTTAAAAACCACAGTTCCACGCTTGAAGTGGCAAATCTATTGTGCAGTGTGTCAAAAGTAATTGTTACTAAAAATAGCCTAAGTACTTGTGTTTTCAAATGATAAAGTTATTTTTAAAATTAGATGTGATTGCAGATTATCCCAATAATCATATCATTGTTGCTTATTTGTGTTTTAATGCCTTCTTTGGTGAGAAAGAGGCTGGATTACATATAGAATCAGAGGTATATTCAAAAGAGTACATTTTTCATGTGAATGCCACCTGTTGGTTTTTATCAGAAAAAAACAAACAAACAGAAAACCCAGTGAAATCATTTTTGAGTAACTACCATGTGCTGGAAATTTAAATTATATAAACCAATTTTATTATGTAAATATTTATAGCTATAGAAACACACACACACACACACACACACACACACCAGTACCTTTGAAGAAAACAGGAAAAAATCATGTGATTTCAGGATTGTTGAAAATAATTAGTTTAAGAAATGATATCATTAGAAATAACTACTTATTGCCACACTTTTAAGGGCATAATAATTTCACATTGACTATGAAATAGATTTTGAAACAAATTAAGAATAAATGCTGACACTGAAGACTGAAAAGTAATTATTTGCCAGTTTGACTTCTTCATTATGATCTCCTTACTTGGTTATTATGTTCCCAAATATTCATAGGAGTTATTTTTATTTTTGGCACTTTGTTTTTTGTTTTAAAGTGTATTGTGCCAAGTTCTTACCTTGTAGGTACCACCTATCTGATGCTATCCAATGTGTACTGTAACATTTAAGAAAATTAATTATGTTAAAAAATATAACACAAATGGAAATCAAACTCCTTTTTGTGAGGTTATTTCATTATTAATGATTTTTATTTACTTATATTCTAGAACACAAATCAATTTTACAGTGGCTATTGATTTTACAGCATCAAATGGTGAGTATTATGACTATCTTCTAATAAAAGTTAAATTAAGTGAAAAATAAATATTTATTTTTATGAGATTTAAATATTTTATTCCTACATTTTCACACTTTTAAAGTGTTTCATATAAAATTCAGATAGTTTTTTTTTTACTATTATGAATTACTTCAGGTATACAAAAGACTACAGGAGATAAAAGTACATGGTAGTCCTATTCAAATTTGTTAAATATTGCAATATTGTCATTTTTGTTTCTCATATTTTATAAAAGAAAATTTTAGATCTAGTTAGCCTCATTGTGTGTCCCTGCCCAATTTCTTCTACACTCTCTTCTTCTCCATACATAACTACAATTCTAAAGTGTCTCTAATTATAATCCTCATTTTTGTAGTACTCTTGTGTGTCTTTATATAAATGTAATTCAAGTACCATGTACCTTATGCAACATGCTTCATTTTTACTTGATTATTTCTTTCTAAGAATTACTCATGTTAACACAATTATATTTATATTTAATTAATTTGGAGGGACTGTCACATAATAATACCCTATGTATAGATATCCATAATTTGTATATCAAGCATTTTAAGACAGAAAGTATAGTGGACTTTTAATTTTATTTTGAAGTAACTTTATTTCAAACAGACCAATCATTTGAAATCAGTTATTATATATTATGAGAACACAAATTTTTTTTTTCCTTTTTTTCAAAGATTTTATTGGGGAATTGGAACGGTGTTGGGGAATTGGGGAAGGGGAACAGCCAAGTTGTTGTCCTTCAATCTTAGTTGTGGAAGATGCAGCAAGCTCAGCTCCAAGTCCAGTCACCACCCGGGCCTGTCGGCAACTCAGGGCAACTCAGCTCAAAGTGCTGTGTTCAATCTTAGTTGTGGGTGGGAGTAGCCCTTCATCCCATGCAGGAGTGGAACTGGCAGCCTTGTTGTTAGGAGCATGTGCTCTCACCAGCTGAGCCATCCTGACACCTGTTGGCAGCTCAGTGGCAGCTCACTGGCCCATGTGGGAATCTAACCAGCTGCCCTGTTGCTCAGAGCTTGCGCTCTTAACCAACTGCACCACTCGGCTGACCCAAGAACATAAACCTTATTATTTAACTTTTACCAGAAATTGCCATCAGTTTATATTTATCTAGTTTTTTTTTTTTCAAATTGCTTATTGTGCTATGGCTTTCACATTATACTCCCTTTACCTCACATATCTCAAATTCACTAATATTTCACAAAATAATATAATTTTTTATTAAGAAAGCACCTTAAAGATAACTTACTCAAACTGTCCTCTTATACATATGAGAAGATCTGATCCAGAAAGTCTTTTTACTAATACATACGTCTTGACTTGCTAGTAGTGGAGTTAGGAATAGAGATGGGAAGACCAAACTCTTAACTCAGCTCTGCTTTGACTATATATTAAGTTTATTCTCCAACATTATTAAAATCAAGTTAATGATTTTTAGTTACATGTTTTATTCAGTAAAAGATGGAACATAAAAATAATAACACCTAAAAGCCACCTGGTTTAAAATGCTAGCTTTTGTTTACTGATGAACATTAGTACAACTAGAAGATTAAGACTCTATTTAATAGTAAGACACTATTGAAACTGACTTAAGAAGAAGTGGACAATCTGAATAGACCTATAACAAGAGATTGAATTAATAATAATAATAATAATAATAATAATAACAACACTATCCAAAAAGTTTGTTTGGATAAACCATTGGGTGACAACTCTTCTTATATTTGAGAGTTATGTTAAATAACCACTTAGTCAAGTAATGGTATTGCTTATCTGTGGCGCCAGTGGGCTTTTAACCAAGGGGCAAAATTCCTGCTTTAGAAGAAAGTGTCAAAGAAAAATTGTACTAGACAAGTTAAACAGGCAAGGAAGACTTTATTCAGGACTATTGCCATAGAGATCAAAGCTATTGCAATAAGAGAAAAATTGAACCTAACTCCTCCAAAACAAAAAAGGTGGGAGAGATTTTAAGTGCTTCAGTAAACTAGTGGGGACATTACAGGGAAGGTTGGCCTGTGTGGTTAGGCCACCTGTGCTTGCTATTTAATGCTCATTGAAGTTAGATTCCTACCCTCCCACAGAAACTAGGCAATAGGGATGCTCTCTTTCCTGATGATGACATTTCAAAGGGCTGGCTTCCAGGTCCTTGAGAAAGACATTCCTGAGTTATAAAAGATTTACATCTCAAAGGGGCAGAGAAAGAATTTACAAGTTATCTGAAGTACATGCTCTAAGAAAAGGGAGCTCTGGAGTGTCTACAGTCAGGAGAAACCTGTCTGTTTTGTCATGCTGAGGGGAATGTTAAGGCCATTTTGGTCAGAAGACATATTTTTTAGAAATTCTGTCACATGGAACCAGTTCTTGAATGCTGATAACCCTTTGGAATTATAAATGCATTTACACAATAAATTATTTTTAGAACAAAAATGTTCTGGTTACAGTAATATGTGTGTTCTAAACCAAGGGGAGATCTTGCCTTTATTTCTTCCTGGATCTCAAGTGCTTATTATTATTTTTCCTTATCAGAAGAGAACTATACCCTGAGGCTTTTCTTCAGGCAATGTTTTAATGTAGAGTTGAGCTCTATGTGTTATTACAAGTTCCAGTTCCCTTTCTATTTTCACTTAAGAAACTAAATGGACTTTCACGCTGCCTTGTGCTGATAATTAGGGCAGCTCATTTGTGACTCTCAATGTGTTTGAGTGGTAGCGCATATATTCTCTCTCAAATTCACCTCTATTCAAATGCAACATGCTACATACGTAAGTATGAGCATATTGAAAATTCAGAATCTTGTGCATGATCCAGGTAATGATGATAGTAATAGCTAAACCTTACATTTCTGTGGTGATTTATTATTTTTAATCACTGCCACACGCATAATCTCATTTTGTCTTCCCAATAAACTCTGGTAGGATGTACCGCAGGCATTTTATAGATGTCGTCCTGCGAATGGCAAGACTCAACTGTGGGCCTTCTGTCTCCTAGTTTAATGTCTAGTTAGAAACTCTGAATCATGTTTCAGATCTAGATAAGAAATTACCGTGAATTTAAAAATTACTATGCTCTCCTTTTTTGAAGTGATATGGGAATATTTCTCAAATATTCAATGTATGTTTGTGTAAACAATAATATAAATGGAGCCAGTTTAAAATGGAGCCGGAGCTGTCATGCCAGAGGAACTGCCTTGCACATCTCATTCCTCAAATCTTTGGAATGTTAAAAACTGGGCAAAATAACCTTTAAACTGAGCCTACGGTAACATTGTGCCCCAAAGAACTATTTATAAAGATAACACGAAAGCAGTTAACTACTAGACTGATGACTCCTGAACTGAACTTAAAAACATCGTTTAGAATTCATATCACTATGTTATGTTATCTGCACCAATGGAAACACCTTCCTTCTGCTGATGTTAATTGTTCCCCTTCCACTTTCATAAATACCCATTGCCTTTGTCTTCTAATTAGAACATTATTTGGACTTCTGCCTGAATTAATGATTCTCAAATAGCTATTCTTACTGGTCTCAAGTGTTGCTCTCAAATAAACACGTGTTGCCTCTCACTTTGAAAAGCCTTTTTATTTTTATGTCAACATTTGTGATACAATTTTAGGAAGACCTCAGTTACTCAAGCTCATTTATTCAGCTGGGTCCTCTGACTATAGACATAAGGATTCCAGGTAAAGGCACATGATTTTTTTTTTTTTTTTTTTAGCTGAGCCATCCTGCTACCTGTTGGCAGCTCAGCGGCTGCTCAGCTCGGGCTGGACTCGAACCGCTGTTGNTTTTAGCTGAGCCATCCTGCTACCTGTTGGCAGCTCAGCGGCTGCTCAGCTCGGGCTGGACTCGAACCGCTGTTGCTCAGAGCTCAAACCCTTGAATGAGCTCTTAACCAACTGAGCCACTCGGCCGGCCCAAGGAACATGATTTTTTGAAAAATTTTCTAAAAATAAGATTGGCAAAAGTGCTTTTATACTTCTAGAACTGAAACTCAAGAATCGCCTGTGGCACTGACCCTGAGGAATAATTTCTGAAAAAATTCTGCCTATGTTTTGGCATATCTTTGGGAAACATTCTACATGCCTGGTCTAAAATGATAAATATTTCCATGTTAATATCTGTGTAAATACATTTAAAATAACTATTTGAAACACTATGGATATAGACAGAAAAATGTAATTTTAAATATTTCATTCTGAAATAGATATCAAGAAAAACGTTGTCAAATATATATATATATATCTATCTTTATCCTGATCATTCATGTTTGAAATATTTTTCTGTCATCAGGCAACCCTGCCCAGCCCACTTCTCTCCACTACATGAATCCTTATCAACTGAATGCCTATGGTATGGCACTGAAAGCAGTGGGAGAAATCGTTCAAGATTATGACAGTGATAAAATGTTCCCAGCTCTAGGTTTTGGTGCAAAACTGCCTCCAGATGGAAGGATATCTCATGAGTTTGCTTTGGTAAGAATACATCACAAGGGTTTGATATTTTGATATTTTTAGATATTTGTTTGCAGCTTATGCTTTAGTCAATCATGTAACAAGCTTTTGTGCTTGTTACATGATTGACTTAATTTTTTGACTTAATTTTGCTAAACGATTGATTTAGGAGTGTGGCATTTATGGGAAAAAGAAGACAGTTAAATAGATTAACAAATAAACATACCTAATGTGCATCTCATTTACAAATAGGGAGTCTATATTCTGGTTATCTATTCCTTCCTAACAAAACCCCCTAGAAGTTAGAGATGTAAACCACAACATTCTATTACGTTCATGATTTGTGGGTCAGGAATTCGATGGCGGATGCTTTCTTTTTGTGTGTGTGATGTCTGGGGCCTCACCTGGGATGGTCTGAATGGCTAGAGATGACTGGAATTGTTCCACGGGCGCCATTTATCTGGGCTTGGTTCGGGCTGTCCTTGGATTTCCCTGTTCTCTGTTCTGTCTCCTGGGCTAGCATGCTCCCTAAGATAGCGCCTTTGCTTATGGCTGATACCTGAGCTGGGATTGGCTGAAATAGCTGGAATGCCTGGATAGCACCCCCTCCTTCTATATACAACTGTCCATGCAGTTCTTACGGTCTTCATCACAGTGTGGTGATCTCATGGTCATCATTTCTTACATGACAGCCAACTTCCCAAGAGTGAGGATTATAAAAGGCTGGGGCAGAGGTTGTGGGGTTCTTTATATCATCACAGTCTTGGAGGTCCCAGAACGTTGCTTCTGCCACATTTCCTTGGTCAAGCAAGTCACGAAGGTCAGCCCAGTTTCAAGGTAGGGGAAGTAACTTTTACCTCTCAGTGTGAGATGGATCAAAGAATGTGTAGCTGTTCCTAATCTACTGAAAGTGCATCTGATGTATAAATCTTGTAAATAGCATCTTCTAACATGGCATTTTGAATTTAAAGGACTAGCCATGGCTAGAATTAATGTTTTCCAATGTGAATCAATACTTATGGCTGTAGTTAATTAAGATTTCAATATAATGGAGTGGAGATGACTGGAATAAAAATGTTTCTCTAGTTAATGGTTAATTCACATAGATCTACTTCCATATTGTACGATTGCAGATAAGCAATGTGCATCAGTCTACCTTCAAAATAAACGCCACACAGTTATTGCTGATAGTTCAGTCAGCCTTACTCTCACATGCACTCTCGGATAAATATTGGGAAAATCAATACAGGATCGTGAGCTACCATTTGGGGAAAAAAATGTAGGTTTGCCTAATAAAAGTGCCTCCCTCACCTACCCTAAATGTTGTAGCAGGTGGGACATCCCCAATATTTTTATATTTCTTCATGTCTTGTTTTTATTATAAAAGCAATCCATAACCATTATAGGAATTTTTAAGTTCTGCAAGCAAAATAGACAAAAGTAAACAGTAATACTACCATTTATTAAGTAGTTACTGAGTATTACTTTGATCTAAGTATATTATACTCATTTTCTTATTTAATCTTCATAAAATTCCTATGGGATAAGGTATATCATGGCTGTCACATTGCATCACTCTAACAAGTGCCACTTTTATTGAATACAGTAAGAAACGTGCACCCAAGAGTTATATATAACTCAGCTCAGAGTCTCACAGGTTTAACCAGGATTCCAAAGGACAGGCCTTGAACCCAGATCAGTCTTATTTTAGAATCCTTGCTCTTAACCACTACTCAATCACATTTTATAAAAGTATCTGTAATACAGCATCTCAGAAATGTGCTTTGTTAAATATATATACATATATATGTACTTATATTTCCAGAAGCTTTAAAGTGATGTTTTGTATTTCTTTTTTTCATTTTTCATGTTTTATTTTTTAATATTTTAAGTATTTTAATATTTTTATTTCTGTACTTATCCTTGCTTTTCTGTTTCATCACCCACACAGTTTCTGAAAAGTTTGCTGGAGGGTTTAATTCTTTCTCCATGAAATAGTCCACATGTCAAAATCCCAATGTCATATGAAAATGAGTATCTGTTGGGATTTTGTGGTGTCTTAGAGAATTAAAATTGCCCAGAACTTATAAGACCATGAAAATCACTCATGTGATTCTAAGTCTGAAGTGCCCCAGGAAAAAGGTCACAAGCTATTTTAAGTCTAAGAAAATGAATAATTTTGTTAAACTAAATGAGGTTTATTCATTTTCCTTCTATAAGTTTCTTCTCACCCTGTGTATGATTTTTTTCTTTCTCTCTCCATCTGATCCTCTTCTGCTTTTTCTACCTCCACATTCATTCCTTGTAACCAAACCTATGCAAATATCTTCTGTTAAAAAAGGCTTTTTTCTTATTTGCATCTTAAATTGTTTTTTGAACCCAACTCAAATGGTTATAGGATAAAGTCATACTCCTTTAAATTTATGAAAAATAGTCTCCCAAATAGATAATGAAGCCAACAATCATGATGTTGATGATGATGATGATGATGATGATGATGATGATAATGCTTCAACTTTAATATTACTTAATTGTTATAACACTTTAATTTTTTTCAAAACACTTTTGTTTTCTCAAAAATCTAAGCTAGACAGAGGTTCAGTAGGTCTTCAAAGAGATAATATTTGACTTGATTTCTGCTAAAATATTCTGTATTAACCTCATCCTAAAAAATTTTAATATGTATCCTATAAGTGCCAGAAATAGCAAATACAAAAACTTCAGTGCCATGTCAATCTGCACTTAATGTACTACTTAATGTTAGCAAACTCTCAGGTTTCCCTGGTAAGAATTTGTGATATGTATTCACAACCATTCACCTATTTATCAAGTAATCTTTCAGATGGCAAAGGAAGCCTTTCAAAAAAATTACATAATCCCTAGTTGGTGTTTTGGGTTAGCTCAAATGCTGAAATTGAGCTTTGGTGAATCAAAAAGATCTTAGGTAAACCCCAGCTTTTCATGTGAAATATGTATAAGAACCAATGGAGCATAATATAAGGAATAGAGTCAATGGAATTGTAGCAGCTATGTATGACGTCAGAGGGCCAATAGATTGGGGGAGGGTGGTTATCTGTGAGGGGAGAAATGTATGACTATTACATTGTTTTATGCACCTGAAACAACAATAAGAAGAAGGAGAAGGGGGAGGAGAAGAAGAAGAAAAAAAGAAGTAGAAAAGAAGAAGAAAAGAAGAAGAAGAAGAAGAAGAAGAAGAAGAAGAAGAAGAAGAAGAAGAAGAAGAAGCAGCAGCAGAAGAAGAAGAGGAGGAAGAACCAATGTAGTCAGGAAAGAACAGGGGTTGGGGAAAGGGGGAAGGAGAAGAAAGTGGGGGGCAGTGGGGGGAGGGGAGGGGAGGGGAGACATTCTAGCATCACAACGCTAGCTAGCACTTTTGGTTGTGGAAAGGTCAAGTAACTGCTCTCCTCTCCTTATGATTCTTGATGACTCCTAATAGTGTTATAACTAAAACTATGTGCAAGGCTTTAGAGGAAGTATTTCTAATGGGCATGTGGCCAGTGAGTGACCTACAAAAGAGGGCCTTCTGCATTGATCAACAGAGAAGTGCTACACCTTCCAAGCGATTTCTCCTACTAAATAATGTAAAAGCATTTGCCTGCTTTTCACTTATTTTGGCACTTATAAGAATCCATGCAATTTAATATTTATGTATATGCTTTTTCTTGCCACTAGATGCTAACAGTGTAACTACCAAAGGTCCTTAACACTGTATGCACAAAACAGCAGCTCAGTAGATGTTTGTTTATTGAGTTAAAGGGAGCACTCTCTCAGCTTTCCCCCACAAGTAAGCAATCAATCTCTGGGCAGCAACAGTTTCAAAGAGTAACGGCAACAACAGCACCTGAGAGTTGCTCTCCAGTAGCATTTTGTCAGCATGTTAGCCCTGTTGAAAAGTATTACAGGCTGTGGGTAACAATAGACTGTAGGCTTCTTGCCCAGAACTGACTCTAACTTCCCCATTACAGTCCCTCAGGGAGGCAAATGGAGGGAAAGTGTGTGAAAGCTGGAGAGCGCTCCTCACTTAACTCTGCACAGTGGGATTATTGCTCATTTTGAATTCTGTTCTATATATTTCTATGTGTTCCACAAATTGACATTCATTATATTAATAAATGGAAAAGGTTGTGGAAATATAAAAAAGAGCATCCATTGCCATCTTCGTAACTATGAAACAAAATTGAATGCTCTTATTTTTAAAATGTCCTGTGTTTTTTTGTAATGGATCCACATACGAGCTTATGTTAATTTGTTTTAATAAGCAAAAACTAAAAAAATGTAATTATTTTAAGAAATGAGTTTTTAAAAAGACTTTAAAAAATTATTTATAACTCATTACAACTTTGTTATTAAGAAGAAAATCTCATTTTAATGGTTGTAAATTATTTAAATAATCTTGATATAATGCAACACATAGACTTAAAAGAATGTATAATTTTATGTAATTAAGTATTCTTATCATCCAAGGCATATGAGAAAATCTTAGAGCAATTTATTACAGAATTAGGACTAACACAGAAATCAGTGCTTTAAATATTCCATAATGATGAACGGAACATCCAAAGATTATCTTTCCACTAAGAAAAATGACATAAGTGAGAAAAATGGTGACCTTGTAATTTCAATTTCATAGAAAGAGAGGAAATAGTTTATAGAAATATAAACCCCCAGCCAAATGTTAAAAGAGACAATAAAAAAGTAGCTCAGAATTATTCTGGTTTGTAATTATTTCTTTAAGGCAGATACACATTTTTATGCCCAAAATCAATAATGATTTTTAATTTTAATTACTTTCATACTTTTCAAGAGAAAAGAACACCATAAAATTTTACTTAAAAGGAAGCTTAAATAGGTTAGCTCAGATTAACATCAAAACCCACCATTAACTGCTTTGTCCTAAATATTAAACTTGTACATTTTAATTTCAATCAATTGATGTAACCAATTTTATAACATAAAGAAGTCTTATTATTTTTATGTTTTTAAATATTTACATGAGTGTTAATAAAATTTGGAAGAAATAAAGCAAAATTAAAAGGAAAAAGTGGCGGGCCGGCCACGTGGCTCAGTTGGTTAACAGCTCGCTCAGGAGTGCAAACTGAGCAAAGGGTCACCAGTTTGATTCCCGGCTTGAGCTGAGCTGCCGCTGAGCTGCCAACAGGTGGCGGGATCGCTCAGCTAAAAAAAAAAAAAAAAAGGAAAAAGTGGGTATAAATCCTTCTCTCACAAATGGCAAAATCGAAGTTGTTGGTACCATCTGGTTAGTTTCCTAAGATCCCCAGTCTTTCAAAATGCTTAGGATTTCATAACATGGTGGCATAGTGGTGGCCAAGAGATTGGGCTCTGGAGTTAGTCTGTGTGAATTCAAATACTAGCTCTCTCACTGGTGTGACTTTTGGGCAAATTATCTAAGCTCTCAGTGCCTTGGTTTCTTCATCTGTAAAGTGGATAATAACAGTGTTTTATCTACTTTTTTTAGAGTTGTTATAAAAAACTATATAATGTATGTAAATATTTTCCAATAAAGCTTGGTATTAGAAGTCAACACATTTTAGTTATAAATTAGCAGTTACTTGTGATTGTTCAGATAAAAACATATGTGCTGATATTATTGCTATGTGAAAGTATAGTTACTGTCCTTACTGTTTTAAAATATATCTACAAGTTTTATTTCTGTCCTCCCCTTTGAGAGGCGGAGCCTAATTCCCCTTCCTTTGAGTATGGGTTACACTTAGTGACTCATTTCTAGCAAATAGATTAAAATAGAAGTAATGGTATGCAACTTATTAGACCAGCTTATAAAGGCATTGGGACGTTTTCCTTGCTCTCTCTCTTGGATTGTTCATTTTGGGGAAGTTGACTGCCATGTTGTGTGAACACCCAAGCAGCCCTATGGAGAGACTTTGTTGGCCTCCTATCAGCAGCTGCATAAATGAGCCTCCTTGGAAGCAAATCTTCTAGCTCTGGTCAAACTTTTAGGGGTTCACATCTGCACCTTGACTGAAAACTCATGAGAAATTCCGAGTGAGAACCACCTAGATAAGCTGCTCCTGGATTCCTGACACCCCAAAAATGTGTGAAATAATAAATGCTTAATGTTTTAAGCCACTGACTTTTGGGATAATTTTCTACATAACAATAGATAACTAATACACTGCCTTATTTGTGGAATCTGGACTAGGAGAATTAAACTTAATAATAACAGAGCGTTCAAGGTATGACAAAGCTAGGCGAGGTTTCCAGATTTCAAGGTGCCCTCCTAGGTGCCGTTTTTCAGACTACAGACTCCTTGGTGGCAAGCGCCATTAACCTTCAGCAACATGGATACATTTCTGTGATTTCCTTTTACCTTGTCTTGATATTTCTCACACCAAATTCCATTCCCTCTGACCCCTTCTCCAGTTAGGGTTATCAAGCATGACATGAAAATGTGCACGTGGCAGATATTTTAAATTTTTTCTTCTCTAAGGTAAAATTAAATGGATAACATTTCATTTTTAATTTTAATACATTGCTACAGAAACTTGGAAAATATAGAAAACTTTAAAGAGTGAAATAAAAGTCACCAATTACCATATTTTGCTGTGTATAATGTGCTCCCATGTATAACACAAACCCACATTTTTGGCCCAAGCTTTCAGGGAAAAAAAATCTTTCGTTTTAATTCAAATTTTTATTTGTTTACATTTAGGTATTGTTTTTGTATTATAAAGAAATTTTAGCATTTATTTCTTAACATATTATGGTACAAGAAATTTTGTGTAACAAATAATTACAAAATAAAATAACAGTACAAGGTGCAAGAAATTTTATGTACCAGTTACAAATTTACGATAAATGTGCATCATAGAAGGTCAAGAACTCTTCATAGTTGCAAGTTCATTGTAAGTTCAACAAAACCAGTTATCATATTTCAGGGTATTATTTTGCATATGGATATCATAATTGATTTCTAGAGTTGCACTTTTAACTCATAAGTATAAATAAAAGAATTAAAAACATTTATATAGATACGGAATTAGTACTACCCATGTATAATGTGCATCCTTATTTTTCCCTCACAAATGTGGGTGAAACAGTGAACATTATACATGGCAAAATATGGTATATAACCCTCCGGGTTTAACCACTCAGTATTTTACCTACATTTCTTCAAGGTTTTTATGTGTTCATCTCTACATGTAAAAGACCTGTGTAAAATTAAGACACTATTTGTTATAGAATGTTGTAATATTCAGCTTCTCAAGATTATTTAGAATTTTCTCTTGCCCTCTTTTTGAAGAGTATCCATTTTAATGATTGCACTTTATATCACCATATCACAATCGATGTAGTACATTGTAATCTATTGTTGACCACCTTAAATTTTTTTGCTATTATAAATATGTAAATTGGTGTTCTTTCAAAAATTCTTTATGAGTATCAATGTTTATTATTCTTTTTCAATTGATCTTTAGCAACACTATTTAGTTTTTACTGATTTTTTGCCTTATGTAACATTCTACAGAATGGGAACCCTCAAAACCCCTACTGTGATGGCATTGAAGGGGTCATGGAGGCTTATTATAGGAGTCTGAAATCTGTACAACTGTATGGGCCAACCAACTTTGCTCCTGTAATTAATCACGTAGCAAGGTAAGTGGAAATACACAAGATATTTATTTTAGTGTACTGGACCACAGTAAAATCATGACATGATTGTTATCATGACCCCACAGATGAAAGTTATTTTCTTCTAATTTACCTCCAGAAGAGTGTGGAAAAAAATATACAGCAGTAGAAAGCATCTCAAATGAGCTATACCTTGCTAAAAAATTTACATCGAAATCTCAAGTGAAGAAACATACACTGAGTTATGTTAGGACCTGCATTTGTTCAGCCAAAGAAAAAAAAATTTTTCTTTGAAAAGGCATCCATGAGAGCAATAACAAGATCAATCATAATCTCAATTGTGTAAATTATTCATATCTAATATCACATTTCATAGTAACATAGGAGTAATAAGAAACTGAACTCCAGGAAAATGACCAAAGCCCTTCAGTGATATATAGAGCATGTTATTTTCACCTCTCTGAAATTAATATAATAGCAAATTTTACAAATTCTCAGAGCTCTACCTGTGTATAATACAGAGTATTGCAATCAGAATATAATTGCTTATGGTTCCAAGTACATGCTCTGGAAAAAAAAAATTTTAATGTGAAAATCTACACGTATTTGCCTATCATTTATTCATTAGTGCATAAATAAATTAGACATCACTTTTATAATTCCTAAAAAGTTTGACTTGACCCAATTGTAAATCCTATGAAACCTTGCCTTATTTTTAGATAATAAAAAAATTATAGCTCTTGTATTAATCCTAATATGTAATCAGCACTTGAAAAATTACTGCATTCGGATCAGTTTATTGATGCACAAAGGCAATATGAAACCTCAGTTCTCCGTTGGAAGGTTCTGGAAGTTTACTATGTCCCTAATGGGCATCATGAGCAACTTAAACTTAAATGTGTTCTACTTTCCATTATCTGGGACATAGACAAGATGCTAAAATACCCCTGCACCCAGGGCTGACCCCAGTGGAACTCTCCTGTGGAATTCCACCTCAGGTTGACAATGACATATTGATGACCATTTTCTGAGTATGACCCTATAACTCAGTTTTGCAAACATTTTCATCCACAATCTGTACTGTTATAAATTTTACATCTCAACTTTGAACACACACAATTAAAAAAGAAAGATTATTTATGAAATAATACTTATTCTTATCTCATATTTCTTTTTATTTCCATGATATCTGTTCTTTCCTATTACTTTTTTTAATGCAAGTCTTGACCCACAAAATTGTTTTCAAAATCTACTAGTGGTTCATTACCTGTAATGTGAAAAATACAGCCTAGCTTATTGTATTTGCTTATATAAGTAGTGTTTCTGCACTTTATTTTCCTAGTGTTTTTGATGGCTGTCATATAAAGCAGAATCAAAATAATATTAATGCATGACAAATTATAGTTAACTCTCACTATCACATACTATGGTACAGATCACTGTTTTCTATGCAAAGATAAGAGGAAAATGATAGGATTTATTTTGTGTGAACTCATGCTGGTTATTATAGATATTCTCATCAGTGCTTACCAATTAATTTTGTATTTTTGTCCTGGTATATGTCTACTATAAAAGTTAAACTTTTAGATATAAAATTTCTAGGTACATTTCTATATATCATTTAAAACTACAGGCTCCATATGGTTCTATTACTATTTTTTATATTGTGTCCAGCATTTTTAAAATTCTTAAATTTAGGGGTAGTTGCCAGCTAACACTTTCAGGCTCTTTGAAAATAATCTGTGATATAATAATTCCTTATTGTTATTTTTTTAATAAGGGAAAATAAGAAACCCAGTAAGACATTGATTTTGGGGAATGATTTCTTCCTTCCAATACAATTTGAAGTTTCATATATCTATTTCTTATTATGACTCTATATAATAGATGTCTTTCTTTTATCTTTGAGAGCTTTGTTTAGTTTTATTTTTAAGCTGTTATTCAGACAAACAATTTCTGTCTGACCCAAAATTATCATTTCAAAACAATTATCAGCTAAAAGACAAGTTTCTACTTGTTTCCAAGATGCTTGTGCATTTTGTCACTCTTAAATGCATTTCAACTGTATTTCGCATGCCTATCATATAGGAGGTAAGTACTCACCAAATGTCTAACAAATAAATACTGTGTGTTACAATATTTGTCATTAAAAATTAGTTTTTGGAAAGTCAAAAGAAAATGTTTTTCCCCTACTTTCTTATTTGCTTGATTTTTGTTTTCTTTCAAAAAGTGTGTTTTCTTTATTGGTAAAAGCTTTGTTATTTATAATACTTTTCTATAGCATCTTGATAAATTGTTATTCGTAACTCTTTTTAAAAAATAATAATTTAGAACGCATATTTATTTCTAGAACTAAAATCTATGTCATAAGACTATTGACTTTTGAGCTACTATTAATGAGGTAACAATACTGTGATAGTCAAGACTTGAGGCATCAAGTTTGCAAAACTGGGTTTTGATTTTTTTGTTTGTTTGTTTTGGGGCTTTCCAACCTCCCACCTCTAATTTCCTGCCTTCTCAGTCCTCATTTCATAGAGTTGTCTGGGGAACAACATTTAAAATAATGTAAAAATTCTTACTCAACAGCTGTTGATGGCTTGTCACAAATAAGTTCAAACACTTTAGTTTGGCATTCAAGAACTTCCAATATCCAACTACCACCCACACATCGAACTTCGTTTTCTTCCATGCTCTCCCAAATGTACTGCACTTCAGTCATAGAGAATTGCTACTTCTGCTCTGTGATGTCATTTTATGTATAGCTCTATCACAGCACTAATTTGATCCTACTCTATTGTTACATATAGATCTTTTCCAAATTGAAGAGAGGAAATGTGATTTAAGCTCACAATACTTGACCTATACCGAGAAATCCATACCTGTTTGTTTAATTGAATTTTCTGTATGCTGTACATTATGAGTACATTTTAATAACTAAGGTTATAATAGGAAACTAAAGAAATTAATGATAATCCTTAGTCAATCTTAATGACCTGTGGGAAATGTGATTGTGATTGATACCTACTGTATCAGTCAGGGTTCTCAGGGGAAATAGAACCAATAGGATTTATGGATAGATATATAGATAAGAGATTGATTTTAAAGAATTGACTTATGCAGTGGTAGGTGTTGGCAAGTCAGAAATTTGTCGGACAAGTTGGCAGTTTTGAAACTCAAGCAGGATTTGATATTGTTGCAGTCTTGAATCAGAATTCCTTTTTCTCTAGGAAACTAGTTTTTGTTGAGGCCTTCAAGTGATTAGGGAGGCCCCACACATTATCAAATAATTTTGTTTACTTAAAGTCATCTCATTGTAGATGTTAACTACATCTACAAAATACCTTCACAGTAATACCTTGATTAGGGTTTAACTAAATAACTGGGTACTATAACCTAGCCAAGTTGACACATAGACTCATCATCACATCCACCAAAAGAAATGTAGTATCATAATGTTGTAAATTGAAAACAAATTTAAAATCAGAGAAATACTTCTGGGTCCTTTTGTATATGAACTTAATAATATATTTAATGTCTATAGCACTCTATTTCAACCTCATTCATTAGTAACGGTAGAAAGAAAAATGTTAAGGAAATCATGTGTTTCTAGATATGCGGTTTGAATAAAATGGAAGTTTACTTATCCCTTGATTAATCTCAGTTTCCTCTTGAATATGGAAATTACCATTTTCACATTCCTGTTTAGGTAATTTTTTCCAAAGGTTTCTCTTCATAGCTCAATAATTTCAAATTATTTGGAATATATTTTATTGGTATATTTGACCAGCTTATTACTTCAAAAATAAACTAATATACCAATAAAAATGTCAATTATCTTTTCAGTCTATCACAAAAATGTCACTATTTTTGTCACTTGACTTAAATAATATTCATTGTTTCCTAACTAATAGTCCTTTGTTTCCTGTGCCTAACCAATTATTTGTTTTGAGGCTGTCACATTCCAATTTTTAAGAGGGATCTATCAATTTATCACTATTTTTTTCTTCTTTTTCTTTTCCTGATGTTGAGAAAGATCCAGGATCCAGATAATCAGCTAAAATTAATTTTCATTTTTCAGGAAAGAACATTTATTTTGGAATTTCCATAACTAATTTTCAAATTAATCTAAAGAATGTGTTGTTTTGTCTCTTTCATCTGTATGATCAATAATAAATCAAAATAACAGTCATTATTGAGCTCATAACCTATCTCAAGCAATATGTTTACTGCTATTATGTAGATTATTTCTTTTAATCTTCACAACTCTAAGAGGTGACAATAGTGTTGCTATTTCAATTTTACTGAGATCAAATGGATATGTAGAGTGGCCATTTGTGGTGGGACCTAAATTCCAAACAGAATAATCTAATTTCAGATGACCATGTTATGATGCCTTGCATACTTAAATCTTTTTTATCTCTGCTACAGAGATAAAGACACACAAAAAAAGTGCAACAAAACAACCTATTATGTGGGTACAGTTGGTTACTTCATTACATTACCAAAAGTAGTTTGAATAACAACTTAGTAACATACATTACTGTGTTACTTTGTATTGAACTATTTAAATGTATCCCTTTATTTAGCATGAAGATTTTATTGTGTATGTCAAAATGAAACTACTTAAATAAAACATTCCTGAGTCAGTTTCTTGTTTTGTTGCCCTCTCTATTCCTGTGAACTAATGAGCTGAAAGAATATTCCACAAATCTGAGCCAGCCGTTTATGAGTTTATAAAACAATCCCAGAAATGTATTTCACAAAGACTCCAAAGAAATGTGTTTCAACACCAAAACCCTGACAAAGCTAAACTCTCACTCAGATTTGTCATAGTAATATTAAAATATAATTTATAGATTGCTTATATATGAAAAAAGACCTGGGAATTCAATAAGAATTTTATTATGCAATTTATAAAAGGCTTCACCATCAGGTTCCTTTAAGAACAAAGCTTATTTAATAAGTTTAAAATGTAATTTGAATCTGCAAGTCTGTATATATCAGTGCTACCTTTTTGAAGATTA